TGCGGCAAAATTACGACCGAATGAGCTGAATATCCAGTCTGTGAGGAGTTTGTATCAAAGGATGTGTTTTCCCACTCTCAGAGGAGCCAAAAAGCTTGAACACGGCGTTGTGGGCAATTAGATGTAAAGTGACGACTATGACTAGCAGTACAAGAAGTAATCTTCCCAGAAGCGGTTCAAAAACAAACCCCAATCAAAGTAGAATCATTCGATACAGGTCCGAAAGCAAGGTACCCTTGCGGTGTTCTTCGACCGTCGAGTAATTTTTCATCATGAGCTCATACAGTTCAGCTCCACGGTCACCAAGAACTACTACAGAAAAAAGTTTCAAAAAAATTGTACGAGCCTGGCCAAAAGATTGGAACCGCCCTACAACAGGCCCCGGACAACTGGACCAAGTAAATGAACCACTTGAGTGTCTGTTTCGTAGGAGATCTTTGGTAGCATTTTTACATTTTGCAAATTATTTTTGAACAATTTTTACATCGATATCGTCGTTGCTGTGTTTTGGCTTTGACGAAATGCGCCGTAGAGAAGGTGTCGAAAATGCACATCCTTCTATCTAGATTTTTTAACTGTGAGAAGATCTTTCAAGTTAAAATGGCACTCACAACACAATATAACACTGATATATAAATACAAACGCTTTCAGACGGTACAAAAATAAACAGCAAGTTTTTAAAAAAAAGGCGGGAGCTTTTTCCAACCTAATCCATTACAAAAACCATTGATATATATGAGTATATATGGGTAGAAACACATTCACGAAATATACTAGGTTCGGCATAATATGATTGTTCGGTAATGCGAGTACTGAAAACGAAATTATAACCATCCACTTATACCTTAACAATGCCTTACAATAAGCCTATAACAAATTGACCATACATGTCGAAAGAGACCTAGAACGCTCGGGAACGAGATAGACTACTAGGATGCCGACAGCCATAGTTAAGATCCTGATTTTTTCGGTTAAATACAAATCTATAGAAAAAAGAACTTATGGACACGGTCACATATTCAGTCAGCTCACTTTCGTGTTCCTCCGGTCTAGTCAGCGACGCCATTATGCTTTAGCGTAACTTCTTAGAGGTCCCCGATGAAAAGACGGTTGTCCGCACCTACGAAAGATATTCTTCAGGTCGCAAACCTACGCTTCGTGATGCTGCGATTCGTAGAAAGAAGGACCAACAAATGGTGAATAGTAATGAGGAGAGAGTGAAAGCAAGGGACGCAAAGACTTCGTCGTAAGTGCTTCGTGTTAATGGAGGGAAGTTGGGCAGGCGTCTGTGAGCGGGAATGTGGCCCGTCGACGAACGAAAACAACGAACGATTGCTTATCCGGTTTTTCCAAAGCGGTAAGGGATTTGAAGGAAAATATCCATCGCTAGACCCTAACAAACGTTGCGTGTTTTGGAATTTATTAGAAACGGTGGAAAAGTGAACGTAATGCCTTGACGTTGAAACAAAGGGGTGAGTTCTAAAATTTAACGAAGCTAACGCTGCTTACCCTTTGTGTTCAATGTGACTGACATGATAATCCTGAAGCTTATTAGAGAACAGAATAACTTATCATCGAAGGAGACTTAATCTTTACGAGTCTGAGACGGTACAGCAAAGCTTTGCATAAGAATGACTATTTATAGAAGCACCTATACCTGTCAGACGAAAAAAATATAGGCCATATACATACTAGCTATGCGTGACAATAGTTGCGGAAGACGTAAGTCCCTATAATACCACAGAACCTAACCGGTTAAAGCGTTGTTGATTAGGTAACGTGTTGGCATCGTATGACTCGTACGTGCTGCTTCGCACCGGAGGAAGTGCTGTGAAGCACTCCAAGGTTGGTACATGCTTTTATGGAACGTGCGTATGTTAAGATGTCTTGTGATTAATTAGTGAATTTATTGCTAGAATCGTAAGCCTTGAATGACATTTTGAGCATTTTGAGTTATCACTGGATAGTTATAGACTAGTTATACTAGATTCTATTTCTTGCTATGAGAAATTCATCGAATAATTTCTTAAAACATTTCTAGTGAACATGCGACCTCCTAGATCTAAATACTCTTAAACCCGAAATGACCTCACGGTGTGGGGTTATCTTTCGCCATGCCTGACCTTCATGATATTTACTTTGTACACTTGGTGAAAACTATATATTAACACTTGGACAAATTATAAAATATGCTCTATGGATGCGCTTAATGCAAAAGTCGTTCATCATTGTGAGGAGTTACGGCTTAGGCTGTCACCAAAAGGGAAACATTTATTACTGGAACCTTATGAGCAGGCTTACGAAAGGACGATAACCAAGTTCACCAACCAACGCCAATGACTGTAACAATAGAGACAATCGTGTCGATTCACTATTCCACATTTGGGCAATTCAAATGTTCCAACTCAAATTTCGGGATTCCTGCTTAAAGAGTACCCCGTAACTTTGTATGCAAGACATTGTTTCTTGCATTACTGCCGTATCAGAGGAATGTCCGTGAATGCGCACGCAGTTACCGGCAATGGACGTGCCTTTTTTTTGCATATCTACAGCCGCTGCGTACGCCCGCTCATATATTCGTCAGTATTGTCCTAAATGTTTATCGCACATTCTTAAGTTGGTAAAAGATAACCAGGAAGAACCGAAAGCATTCGATAGTCTGCTGTTAGTGCAGCTTTATATTGGCGATGGTCGTTAATTACTACAGCGTAGAGGATGCAAAAGGTATTGACGCAGACTTTGTATTTAGTCATTTGCTTTTTTTCTATTAAATAACAGGAAACGTTCACGCAATGCTCGCTTAACCTTTCCATTTATTTGATTTGACAATATTTGGTAATTATCTCTGCTGATTGAAAGGCTGGCTAGTCAGATTACACTTAAAAAAAAGATCTGGACGGTACGAGATACATAAAACGTTCACATTCATAAAAGTGATTCGTGCCATATGGAACCTACACCTAAAAAACGATTCGATACACTCCCTATGTCTATATATACACGTAGGGTAGGACAATCTATATATAGATCCTGGCCCAAAGGCGAACCCTGTATATAGCGTTTATCAGTATTATTGCGCATGACGCAAGCGTCAACTGGCAAGGTGTTGCTGTTCTTTTGCATCCGACATCGCTTCATCCGTTTGTGGATGAATACTCAGTGGATCCAAGACGCCTCTGAACAACCTTGCCGTTAATCTCAGCGTCATCTATTACACTAGCGGAAACACGCTCAGATATTCAGCAGAATGCGAACAATCGAGGAAAAGGAGGCTCGCGTAAAGAAACTTTGCAAAAAGGACAGTACCTTCTCGGATCTTAGTACGTGCAGGCGATATGCATTGCAAGCGGTACTATAGTGTGCCCTCTGTCATTTGGTGACGGTAATTGCGATGCCGACGCTGCATAGACGCATATAGATGCCAATATGGCAGATCGCTGCTTTGGTTTGGGTGTCGTTGTGAATTTGCATGTGGATATATGCCTCATGCGCCATATCGGACACACACGTCGATAACTAACAGGTAAGCCATTTTGTCAAGCGGCGCAGTTATCGGAGCTCGGGCAGATGGCTAGCACACATAGACACAGCGTTGCATTGATTTCTCTTTTATCAAGATTTTCTCGGCAAATGCAAAGACAAAGATGTCTGGTCCACGCCAGCGACAAAGTGCTGCCATTAGTACAACGCTATCGCAACCCGGGGGTTATTGAGGAAAAAAGCGGTGGCGCTAATAGGTAACTTCAGTCAGGGGGTCCGAAATGTGGGCGTGTAATCCGAAGGACGTTAAAAAAAGAATAAAAAAGCAAAACGAAAAAGAAAGTCACATCAAACGAAAAATATTCACAAACAGAAAGGAACTGAAATGGTTTGCGCAAAGGTCGAAATCGAATAAGGTCGAGATAAAGTCTAGCAAAGAACAGTACAAGACGATGATAAAGCTTTGCAAGCAGCGTTTGGACATCATAGTTTTGACGTTCACTAACGAATTTCGACTAAAAAACGCGAGCAACGGTAAGCAAAAAAGAGAAGGCTTCCCTTGACTTGCAGAAAAGCCGCTTGGCGTTAGCAGTGAGACTACTGATAGCGACCGCTGAATAGGACAATCCTAATCGATATGAGACAGTTGTACTTCCAAGACTATTCTGCTTTGCGATGTCTCTGTTCCAGAGATTTAGGAGTTCAGGACGAACGTAGATTGTAGGCGGCGGACCAATGAGAGATTCGGATTGGTCAGAGTTGAGTCTACAGGGACCGACGTAAGAATGTGTACGAACGTAAACCCGGAGATGTTTCTATATGAGAGCGTTGTATATTTTGTACCCCATGATAGTAATCTAAACAATATTGTGTGTGTAGCTTCGTTGCTTATTGTAGACGGCTGAGCTATTGGCACATAGGATATGTACATGCCAGCAAAAATGACACGTATTACGTCGGCTACACGAAATATATTGTATCCCAAACCAATGGGAGAGAAGTCCTAAAATGAATATTCATCATTACAATTGCAATAGGTCACTTGATGCTGTTTCAAGCCGTTGGCATTGTTTTGACGTAGTTTCGCAGTCAGCTGAAACTTTAAGGTAAAAGCTACCGAAACTATCCGGGATAGGTGTACAATGCACGGTTAAATTGGTATAACTGAAAAGCAGGTAAAAACAGGGTGAAATTAAAAATAACATTTTCGGCTTAACGAGTGCGCTCCATTTGATTTTTCTAGTTCGAAGGACACTGCCTTGTGCCAAAGGAGATCATCAAGATTTTAGTTATACAGTCAACGAAATGTTAAAAAAAAAGGGTAGTAATAAATAGAAACCGGCCAAACTATTATATTCTAATAGATAAGTTATACGATTATACAAAGTAAGTGATCTATATAGGTGTTATAGCAAGAGAACGAAAACTGGAAAATAGAACATTTTATTGTTCTTTTTTTGTTTTATTTAGAACACTTTCCTATTTCGGCTGCCATACAAATCTGCTTAGTCTAGTTAGTGTAAATCAGCTTAAGACGGCCGTCTATTCGTTCTATAGTAGACATATGTAGGTTGTTGACTGTGCAAATGAGTGAACCAATAGCAAAGGGCCACAGCGCTGATGACAGAGAAGTATTATATTATAGAGGTCTTTCACTGCAATGTTGTTCGATTTTAAGCTATATAATTGAGCTATTATTATTAACAAATCGTAATATTAATTAATAAGAAAAAAGTTTTTGACAAAATCCGTTTATTTGGAAAAAAGCATTTGTTTTGACTTTCTAGGATAACCTGAGGTCAATTTTGGGTAAATATTTCTCACTTTATTTGCATAGAAAGAAAAAGGAGCAACTTTTCAGCAATAATGTATGCTGTATTAAAGTTTATTTTGTTCTATAATCTCGTCGTATACTTATCGTAGGGAGAGATATTTGTACTCCAGCATATTTTACTGCGGCAATACTAACTATTGCGGTTTTTACAATTGCTTGCATGATTCTTGAATTTGGTATTTATATCCCTGGTTGGATTGCCATCGAGTCGTCTATTGGCAATGAGTCTTAGCTAATGCCGCGTTATATGCGTGAAAACAGCCTTGATAATCATGTTTGACGCGCAAATTTTAAAAGGTGACAACGGGCTGAGATACGTTTTTACACTCAACATATAGCCTGGGAAATGGGTCAGAATAACAATCTAAGATGCACCCATGCTATCTTAATGCCAACCTGTTTATAAACTTTTTTTATCTGCTTTTATTAAATAGGCTAGTCGAGCGTAGTTCAATGCAGGTTTGCTTAAAATTTGTTATAATTTTATTAAGAGTAAATTTAGCGCTCTGTTTTACAGTTAACTGCCCTGGTAACAGGAAACGGCCAGGCAGCAATACGTTGTGACTGAAATTATAGAGAACATGTCAAATATCTTCTACAAATCCATATAAGTAGCATTTCTTTAAAAAAAAAAATCCATATTTACTTTTCTCCTATGTCAACTAGAAGCGAAGTGGTCTTGATCATTTTACGCATATGCGTATTACAAAGAAGAAGAAGAAGAAAAGAAAGAAAAAAATCCTATGTTTATGTGAGGAAATCAGCGACGCATTCCGTATTCGAATCTTGTAAAAAATGCTTCTAAAAACATTGATAATATGGCTTCTGATTCGTACTGCGCCATCGATAAATTCGTTCACACAGGCATGGTATATGTTGCTGTTTTATTTTGTTTCAGTACTTCGTGAATTCGGTTCAAAATAGATGTGATTAGCTGTTGACTATTTTTGAGTGGCTCCATGAAGCCAGTTATGCACCGATCCGTGCTGTCAACCGGAGAAACGATCCGAGTTTTCCCGCTTCTTCTTCAAGGACGCTCACTGTTATCGGCTGTGTGGGTCGATATGTTTCCCGTAAACATGTGAGACGAATGAGATTCACTGATTAACGAAGGGCGTGTTGTTGCCAGCAAGGTCAATCGGAGACCTTGACATGGCTAGATACGAGAACTGCCTAGCCGGACAAATAGTCATCTCAGACTGGATTTGATTCACATTAACAGTACGTACAATGAAGAAAAAAGGGTTCAAATTCAAGCACGGCGAAAAATATCATTGCTATTGATATATAAAACAATTAATAAAAACACTATGCAAAATTCGCTTCAAGGGCTTGCTTGACGACTACCATGCGGTGTATCCTGCGTCAACCGTAACCAAAGGAATCAATACTAACATTTATTTCTATTAGATGCTGGATTTGATCTCAATAAATTCGGTTGTTTACTTATGTTAGCTGATAATATATCAGCTAACATAAGTTAGCCATATACATATGTATCTAATGAGTCAAACTTACGTCTAAGTCGGCTGTCGTTGCACCTTTAGTGACCGCGAACACGGTTGCCTCGCAAGTTCATTTATATCATGCATTTGTTTCTGCTACGACTACTGACTAACGCGACAGCCAGTAATTCTTCTAGCCTTTCTTGTTTCCACATAGAGGCTTGCGTTTCTTCGTATCAAGCGATCGAATCGGCCTGTTGCCAGGCCAATGCAATTACATGCAAATTTCCTTTGACGCGACTTCAAAACTAATTTAAGGTTTTAAAAAAGCCTACGAATAGAGACGCCTACGCTGTGCCGCTGACTACATCACTGCCGGTTCTGATTGTCCTAATATTATTATAATGCCAAAGCTTACCCTTACGCCGTACGAGGTCATCATCAACTAAACAGTACCTACCATGAGGGTAATATTACTTGTCGCTAATGGGCCCTAGAATCTTGGGCCTGCCTTCCACCAGCAGTCTGCGATCCGGCGATAACAGCACAAATGTTTGCGCAATGGCTGCGATGTAGCCAGGATTTAGATTTTGTTTCGGCAACTGAGTCCCGCTGCAGGGCTGCTTGCATTACTAGATAGTCTGACTAAAATTTGCTGGATCCAACTAGGACTTTGGCGTGATGCTATAGTCAGTAAACCGTTCATGTAAAGTCCTGTGGTATTAAAAAAGAAGGATGTTTGCATTGGAGAACGATAGCTGTCGCTACTGGGATGACGTCTGCAAAAGGACGGGACACCAACAGGTCGTGTGAAAATGGAATAGCGCTATACGTAAAAGTCTGTCTCCTCTAACGACGATAAATAAACAATTAGTAGTGCCTTAACCGGCTCTACTGCTGGAGATTCAAGCAGAGGTTGTATGCAGAGTAATCCCAACTGACAGATCACCTTTGACCCAAACTCTTGTCCATGTTTGCTTGCCCATAAGATAGTTTGCGTGAGTCGTATTTTTGCATGAACTGTTGAACGGTAGTGTGATAATGTTACACGTAATAATAATGATGCGTGATAATGTTACGTACAGCAGTTAACTGATCTTAGAGGACCAGCTGGTAATAAACTCCTGTTCGACTATGCAATACGTGAATCGTCCAGAAAATGTCGAGCAGATCAGCAGCGGTAACAAACTTCGTAATAGGCAAAGAGCACAAGGTAATAATAATTCCAATAGTTAGCATACAGTTATTTAATAATTCCCCTAGTATTATGAAATGACGCAAACCTAAACAGCCGTTAATAAGGTGCACTTTCTACAATCATTTAGAAATGAGAAAAAAAAAACCCAATTTCCGCAAAGAATTAATTTCAGCTTGCTGCATCCAGAATGATAAATTTCATACCATGGAGACAAAAGCTGACTCGATATTGGTAGCCCAATTAGGGAAGTTTAGGTGGCCCTGATCCACAAAAGCGTACCAGATTATTACAGCAGTAATCTTGACTGAGACGCTTGTAATTGTGAAATTCCCATATTTCGGGCCTATAGAAAATATCTCTCATACGATACAATATGGCCGAAACAGGTAGCGTTGTTTACTAATGTGTCAGTTCTGCTTGTAAATGTAATAGTAGTCCACTATTGCAGAGCTGATTATATTAGAAAGCTGGGTCTCACCAGAACGCATTGATAAATGGGCCGTGTTTGCCCCGGCATATATGGACGACCTGCATCAGTAATAGATGCTAATGACGTCGCGGACAATTTACGTATTGAATTCTGACCCTTGAATTAGACGTCTAAATATCAGTGTTAACCTGTTGCTTTTTTAATTTTGCGAAATTCGTAGGAGACAACTTTGTACTCGTACTAAACAATTAAGCGTTGACAATATAGGGGTTCAGTCAAGTCAGATTGCTTTCGACAACTGCTATCAAAATTACTACGCAATTATAGCTAGAAAGGCAGGCAGATGTGTGTCGATTACGTTGTAACTCACAGGGATTAATATCCTTTAGGACAAAATAAATCCCAAAATCATAAAAGTCTCTGAATCAATTCGTTTCTCGTACAAACGTAGATTAGGCTCAATAAGAGACACATCGGTAGCTTCGTTACAGGATTCGTAGTACCTACTTTTCGATTTAGAAGAAATCGCGATTGCGTTTATATATTTTCCATGTATCGCCAGTGTAGAATTATTCTCTCAATGCACCAATTTCTATCAACAAATTTCAGCTAAAACCACACCTAAGCCCTTATATACATTTACATGGAGAATACAGTATAAACCCGCTTTATATATTGCTTCTGGATCCGTGTTGCAACGTATGTGTGAAAAAAGTACTGATGCGGAAAGCGCTAAGGCGCCGACGATGCTTACACCCCATTACCCGGCCTTCCCTATTTGGCTGAAAAGAATAACGCTATCGTTAAAATCAAACAGCATTTTCTACTAGCCCGACTCTGGCTAGCGGGACTGTTTATTACCTCACTGCTGTTTACCTCATTCTGTTCGAAGCCTAGACCTTAAATCTGATCTCAGCGTAGTAATCAGTCATATTTGTGTCGTCATTATTAGGACGCGAATGTAGCAAGACCAAGTGAGGATTGAGTGACTAGGTATAATGTACAATTACCGAAAATGTGCTTCAGGCCGTGCTCGAAACTGTACCCGAATATTAATAGCTAATACAGCCTAGTGTAGAAGTATACGAGAAAGGAACTAGTACCTCACCGTGTAGTTTCGTCAAGCCCCACGTTGCCCAGTTAAAGCTATGTCGGTATGATAAATCAGCTATACAACGTATGCGATCTATAAGCTAGCGTCAACTATCGGCTGCGTCTCGATCGGGCCAAGTTGAGTTAGTTTATAACTTCAGCCTCAATCAACTGAGATTCGTGGTTTTTTTCCTTTCTTCTCCCTCTATTCTTTATCCGAGTGTCGGTCTGTCGCTGTGACAGTGCTACGTGTTCCGACGTATTTTCTGATACATTGGAGCAGAGTCGGTGCCAAGGACAAGGTCCGTGGCCCATTGCAGATCTACGTGATCCATAAGCACATTGATACACTAGACAGTAAATATACTGCGTACTTGTTCTGGTATCGTATATAAGAAATGCAAAGGTGACACTACAGTTAGCATTTGTTGTCCCGGTGAGTTCCGGTGCTATATTTTTGAAACTGGAAAGCAGTTTTGTAAGCCTTAAGTAGTGACAAATATATATACGAGGCGGAGAAACGATCGACAATCAGGTTATATAGCTATTACAATGATCATGTTCATATGGGATGGGATGTTTTTTGATGTATATATATATAAACGTACGTCGTTTTTTCCCAAGCAACGTATTTTTCCAGAAAAAAAGTTATTCTGAATGTCATTTTAGGATTCCGGCAATACAAGAGGATAATATATAAATGTTTCTATATGTCAACAGCCTTCTGCTTAAGATCTTAAAAGTGGTCGCGGCGAAGATTTTCCTGTTAGCCATTTTGCATATGATTTCGTGCATTTAAACAGGTGTACTGTAGCATACGCCGCCTTTTAATCGTAGAGCTTCGTTAGTAGTTGACCCTCTTTCAAACCTACCTGTTGCTAGGCCTATGTACCATTATAAGTACTTTCCAGGTTGTAGTGATTGAGAAAATAGCTTTCACGGCGACCGGCGACCTATCTGTGTGGCCTCACTGAATGCTCCACGAACCACGCTTAGGAAAACATATTATGCGGAAATGACAGCTCGGTAATACGATGACGCGTACGCGATGACGGGGCGGGCCGACCCGTTAGTGGAAATGGGTCTGGCCTCAGGCTTCAGTGTACCTTAAGGTTCATAGTGCAAACCGTTGCTCTAGCCGTGGAGACCCTTTTGTCTGTTTTGGAAATGTTGTTAAAGCGAGTGCACGGGGTCTCCCTGGGTAAACTGCCTAGAAATATGTTCACTCAGCGAGAACGAATGTGTTTTCGGGCATAAATATTCTTTTATAAGCTGCCTATTGGAGAGAAAATGTGGATTCTAAGAAGTGGACCGCAGTATTCAACGGATACGGAACTAGAGTGACCCGCTTCGGTATCAGAGTATTATACGTAAACTGCCTCGTGCCCATAAAAGATTTTGCCTGTCTGAAGCCAAGGAGTGCAATGTAGCCATTCAGATTTTAGGGTGTATACGCATTAAATCCATGTGAGTAATGCAAAAACATTGATATGGCCCAGGAGACAGTTAACGCGATTCCCCGAGAAATATTGCTGCCAAAATATGTATTCTCGAAAACTTTAGTTGAATAGTAATAGCTTTAGTAAACATTTTAATTAATTTAATTAAAAAAAAATAAAGTTTCAATTGACAATAAGGCTTGACTCGGAAGTTTTTATTTGCCGCTTGATTCTGCTTTCAACTTCTTACCTGGTCACAAGCTCACTTGATGCAGCAGTAACTGAAGCTAAATAACTTGACAACGACGAATGATAAAAGTTAACGAGTTTCTTTAGTTTATATAATATAGCCGTAAGCGTGTTGGTCGACGAAACATCCTACAACCCATTTTCTAATCAAGATAATTACAGTCTTGGAAACTGTCTTCGTCTTGAAAGAGTCATTCATGGCTCTGTAAAAACGAGGTTGAACTAATAATACTTTTGTTATTATTAAGTCTCTTCTGCAATATTATAATTGAGTGAAATGTCTTCCTCACCCTTAATGAGAAAATACTTACCCTAAAATAACATAAGTTAATAAATATGAGACCGCTGGCCATATGGGCCAAATAACACGGCTGCTAGTGTTGCTATTCGAGTAACAGTAGTGAGATCGTATAATTTATTATCAACGTTTCCTATCGAAGTTTTCCTTACAAGGACAAGTTAAGCCTAAAAGCTTAGTCCACCATAAGCGTCAGTGCCTGCTTTTGCAAAAGTAGCCAAACTCTTTTTGCTTTCTAATACATTTCTATCGCTGCTAAGGCTT